AAAAAAAAACTTGTGTTTTTTTAGGGCACGGAAGTTGCTGTGAATCCAAAGGCGTACCCTTTAGCGGATGCTCAGCTAACAATTACGATCATGGATTTGGTACAGCAAGCTGCGAACTACAAACAGCTCAAAAAGGGCGCGAATGAAGGTTATTTTTTCTGTTGAATGATTTCCTATGGCTTTTTTTGGTTTTGCGGCAGTTTTAGTTTCGCGGGTATTATAAAGTTTTGATTTTTTTTTTTGTAATTTTCTTTAAATTGCAGCGACGAAGACGCTGAATCGAGGAATATCGGAGTTCATTGTGATGGCGGCCGACACCGAGCCGCTCGAAATCCTTCTACATCTTCCTTTGCTTGCCGAGGACAAGGTATAATCTTAATGCAAAAGAATGGGAATTTTTTTTTATATGGTGATATTTATTGTGATAGTTTGGTTTGGTAAATTTCTTTTGTTACATCATATTGTGGCTGAAGAGCGTGTGAAAGTAAGTTATCGAGTATTGGAGAAAATAATTTTGAAATGGTTCTTATCTTGAAGATTTAATATGAAAGAAAACCATAGGCCTCAGCTTTCTAGTTTGTAAAAGTGAGGGTACATTAGGCACATATTATATTTAAGTCTTGGCCATATGTGAAACTTTAGTTCTCTGTATAAGCGATTCTTGTACGGTTTCTGCATGTTAATGTGATTATTGACACATTTGGAGTATTGAGAAGCAATTCAACTCTTAAATGCCCTTTTATCATGTGAAAATGTTGATTAGCCAATATTTTTAGCAAACTCTGTCCTTGTTCAAAGCAAGGACCGAACAATTGATTATTTCTTTGAAACAAAATGCAGGGATCAAAAAGTTAATTCTTGTTGAAAGGATTTAAGAAGATTCTATCCTTTTTTTTATTTTTTACATTATCAGGGTGCTGAATCATTGAGTTGTTACCCTGAAAATAACTGTAGAAACAAAGTTAAATCCAACAAAATAGGAAGTTGAATTGAAGACAAAACTTGACGATAATTATGTTGCCAATTTGAAGGCAAAAGTTCTAAATGGATATAGTGACATGGATTCTGTAGACCATGCTAAAATGTTAATGCGCCTTCTTGATATGGCTTGTTGAAATGAATTTCATAAACTAGCTGCCACTGCATTAGAGGTGTGATCTTGCCTCAGATGTCCACTGAACGAGTCAGGGTCGTACTAATCTCAGCAGTCTGCAGACGTTAATTCTCTGAAACTATTCTCAGTAGTCTATACTCAATAGACCTGAATATGAGCTTTTACATTTTCCTCCTTAACAATGACAGAATTATTTCTGGAACTTAATTCCATTTGTACGGTGGACAGTTTTGTCCTATTACACATCTTACATGTATCTTCGGAAAAAATTACGGAGAATTGTAGAAAATAAGCTGTGCTAGTGTTATTAAGATAAAAGAAAATTTCAGCGGAGTAGAGAAATAGAGAAAGAGGAACAAGAAGACTCATAGTTGAAGGATAACACATAAAAATATGCAAATAGCTTACCATTTGCTACCTACATACCTTTTAGAATTTGGGGCTCGAGGGCTGACCCTATCAGTCTTAAACTGCAAAAGCTATTGATACATATGCGAGAAAAGGAGTTTAACATATTTATGCTTCAAATTGGTTTTTGTGTTCTGCTTTCTTTCTTAATCTCCTTCAGCTTCTTGGGATTTTTATATTCAAATAGCGTTTGATGTTTTATTGTCCCAGAATGTCCCCTATGTATTTGTCCCTTCCAAGCAAGCACTTGGTCGAGCTTGTGGAGTTACAAGACCTGTGATTGCCTGCTCGGTGACTAGCAACGAAGCTAGCCAATTGAAGAGCCAGATACAGCAACTCAAGGCATGTTTCTCTGGACTTTTATGGTATCCAACCATCTTTTACCAGGCTCAAATTCTTTTACTAATTTCATTTCCCTTGATATTTCCAGGATGCTATTGAGAAGCTCCTGATCTGAATGTTGAAAACCTTTCGGCATGATGGGCCTCGTAGCCATCAAATCCCAGCGAAATGGAGGCTTTGACTGATTTTGGGATTTTGTATTGTATTGTTACCTTTGGCTTTCTGCATTTCTGGTTGTATGGGACTTCATGTTATAACTGAATAGGTAAATATTGAATTGCTTGTTGAGTTGTAGTATTTGAGATGTTTGCCCTTGAGACATCTCAATGTTTATTTTCTT